GTCTCTGAAACTCAAATTTCAAGATGAAGAGGTTTTAATTTATTTGTTTTGTAGAGCATGTCGAGTTACCTGTACGGAAACATTTTCAGCCTTAAAGATTGAGACTTGGTTGAGCTAAAGAAATTTTAGCCCATAAGAAGGCGAAAAGTCAAGGCTTAAGTTGAGATGTAAAATTTCTTTAGCTCAACCAAGTCTCAATCTTTAAGGCTGAAAATGTTTCCGTACAGGTAACTCGACATGCTCTACAAAACAAATAAATTAAAATCTCTTCATCTTGAAATTTGAGTTTCAGAGACAAGTTTTCAAAGATCCACTCTAAAAGTTTATATTGACCCAAATGAATATCAGATTCGTGATTAGTATCAAAAACTTACCCATAATCAAGTAGGTTTCGAGGAAAAAATGCTCCTTCACTGGAGAGATTTTGTCGTTAGAGAAATACTGAACGGGCTGCTAATACTATAAGTGTAGATTCAAACGAAAGAAAAATTACATATAGTCTTTGCATAAACTTGCTTTCAAATTTTAATGTTTAACTCCTTGCTAAAAGCAGAACTGGAATGTTGTTAAGTTGAGGCTGTATAAATAGTGGATACTTTAGTTTGTATCATATCTGTTAATAACCTCACACTTTTTCACTTCTTCTCATGAATCGTTTTTGGAAAATTTTTTGAACATATTTTATACAGCAATGTGCAAAATAATAGACTCCCCTGTTCAAACCTTCTGTGCTTTGTTCCTGCAAAAAGTGGCATGTGTTCTTTGTAACGAAAAAATGACGGGCGGAGCTCGCGAACCCGTCAGTTTGAAGGAAAGGTGTCATCTACTAGAGCTGGTTGTTAAAAAATGAGTCCAGCCTCTATTTCAAATTTCGTAGCCAAAATACTGAAATTGGATGATGTTTTCAAGCCATTTTGAGTTGTCCAATAAAATCTAATAATAACTAAATATAGATCATTTTTTAAAGTCTTTTTTATGAAAATGTTCAGAAACAGCTCCTCTATGTGTCTATGTAACTTTCGAGCCAAACTAACGTCGCTTTAGTACAAAAATACGATGTCGAGTCTATAATAATGAACAGGCAAAAAAACGATGGGTTTAGATAAACATTTGTTTTCTCGAACCTGAAAGTTGTATTACGCAAATCTGATTTCTTACTCGAATGTATGTAGTCACAAATGCTTTTGTTTGCACAAGAGTGTACGTTGGTCGAGAGTGATCAAACAACTGGATTTGAACAGGTTAATCTATAATTTTGCATCCAAAAGTTTGAGAAAAAATTGCGCTTGATCAACTATTACAGATTTGAAGGATAATGTTGAGAATGTTCCATAACGAAAAATTTATATATTTTAGCTCCAGTCTTTGAAAGATTTTTATTTTAACAAATTAACATGTTTTGAGATCATTTACGATGAATAGTATTGTTTTAAACGTTTCTGTCGATCAAAAAATTCGTTTTGAATTATATGAAAATAGTGCACCAATAACATGCAATACATTTTGTTCAAAATTACCATTTGAAATAAAACTATTACATGCGAAACTTGCTGGTGAAGAAATATGGTCACCAAATGGTCCTGAATTGGATATAATACAAGAAAATTCAACTATTCATGTTGAACCAGGTGAAATTGTGATAGCACCAATTAATCCAATACGTAATCAAATTAGAAAATGTATTGGAATATTTTATGGTAATGGGAAATTAGTTGATTGTGCAAATGTATTTGCCAAAGTATTTCCCGATGATATAAATAAATTAAAACAATTAGGTGAAGATATATGGTTAAATGGAAGTAAAATAATTCGTTTTGAAATGCTTCAGAAAGAAACATAACTCTATACATAAGTATTAATAACTGAAGTAATGCAAAATAGTTTGAAAAAATAAATACATTATTTTAGCTAAGCTTACGAACTTTGTACATGTAAAAACATTATCTTTAATAAACTATCAATCTTACGTTTTTAACTTCAATACTTTTAGTGAAATCATTATCGTTGCATGTCTGTTGTTGTATAAGCATATCGGTCACATTCAACTATGAGACATAAACTGAAGAGAGTTCAAAGTTCTGAACGCTGTATGTATTGTACATATGTGTTTGATGTTCATACGTGAACATAAAATACAAAACAGAACTGAGCACAAACATCTGGGAGTGTTTTTAATACAAAAATTAGACTGGAAAGTTCATTAAGACTATGTGCTGAGTAAAAATGTAATGAAGAAGTTTAAAAAAATATTCAGCCTATCTAGACTAAACCAAATGTACAAACCTTTGGTTTTCCCCATAGTAATTTACGCGCATGTGCCGTTTACATAAAGAAACATAACATTTATTTATTTGAACAGTATTATGCTAGTTTAATTGTTTCTGGTGCACTTCATTTAAGTAATAAACCCAAAGTTATGAAGTTCTTAGATCGATGGAATTACATCCATCGTTTGAAGGGTTCAAATTAAAGCTAATGCATAAGGTCACTACCAGGCAAGCCCTGCACTCTGATGTGCCTTTAGTTGGATGAGCGATCGTTACTGGTAACAGTAACGATTGACGAGCGTTACTTGTAATGGATAACAGCTCTATATATGACTATCAAACAGCAGTCTAAGTTATTGCAAAAGAATCTCTTATGTTCTAGAGCAGTTTATTGAAAAGGAAGCTCATTTATATTCACATCGATATTCTGAATGTGACAAACATAGCAGTGATTACCAATCATAGAAGTAGCCGGCTGAATTATTTTTATAATGAGGTCAATGTATTAAGTAAAAATATAAAGTTTTATGTGGTTTAGCAGTCGAAAAAACTTTTTATCATACAAATCATAGCAAATCAGGCTGATTTTTTTGGGGGCAGTTTAGAGAAAAAACAGCATACATATTCTGATTCCTTTTTGCATGCAGATTCCAAATCGGATGTTTATTTTCTGGTGGAACGTCTGCTTTCTGAAAAAGAAACGAAAAACCGTTTTTACGTTGAAATTAGGTATTTTTCTCCGTCTCCTTTTCTCTCTTTTTCTTTCTTTCTGTTCGTTTCACCATTTTCATGATGAACGGAGAGAATGAGGAAGACAATATATATCTTCTATAGCCAAACATTCAAACATCAAACGGATGTAAGCCCACACGGTGACGGACGTACATACATATAGTGACTAGAGAGTGTGACGGAAAGACTAGATGCTAACTATGCTGTTCAAAATTTGAAACTGCTGCAGTTGAAATCGATTTGAACGCTGTTCTATCACCCGTTCATTCGCTATTGGGATTAAACTCTCATTTTCATGTCGCTCTCACATATCGCCAATATTGGCGAACAACGACAAATTCGTATAAATCAAGTGATAAGGAGCCATTCGTTCTTCAGTTTCCGACTTCTTCTCTCTTTTCAACTGACACCTCGAGTTTTGTGTTTCCAATCCATTCTTTTATATTCAGAGTTTCTTAAAAATTTAAAAGCGCTATGTTTAAATCCTTTTTACAGTTCAGAAGGGTTGATTTTGGTTGACATTATAGGGGATCTGATTATTTTTCCGATAAAAAGTAAACCACAAAAATGAAGTTTTTAAGCGCTTTACTGTGGCAGAAAAATGGATAACATTCAAGAAGAAATGTCGTAGCTTAAGCCAAAGTCGCATTGTGTCCTTCTTCTATGAGAAATAGCGGGTTAGGTTACGAATAAACTGAACTAAAATTTGAAGGATTCTCTAGTTTTCGTTCTCAAAATGGAGCGAGACAGATAAATGATAGTATTAACTGTTATGTTGAGTTCATCAACTAATGCATACAAAACTGTGAGAGTGACTCTAAAAATAGTACCCTTTATATTAAAAATTTTGACATAAGGAACTAGTAGACCTCTTAGATCATGTATCAACGGCAGGTACGTAGTAGTAATAGATAAATTACACGCTGCGCTTTTTATGTCCTGAATTTTCAAAAAACCTTGATTTTTCACTCTGAGAATAATGATATTTTCTGTTGATTATTTATAAATATTACTAATAAATATAAAAGAATAAATAAATAAATAAATAAAAAATGCTTGAGTGCAGATTGTAAAAAAAGCTTTATGTGCACTCACATACGAAAACGGTTTCGCATAGTTCTATAGATCATAGAAAAGTGTTCTAGTTAAAGCCCTAAAAGGATTTGTGCCCACAGTACTTCTTTCAAGAGGGATGATTTTTTTGGTTTCGCTGGGAAAAGAGGTACAAAAGCATTAAAATTTTTGTATCTCAATAAAAACAGTGAATTTTGAGTTGATATTTCTTTCTATGGTTGTTCTAATACTCGATTAACATCATAGAAAGAATCAGCATTTCAGCCTCTCCATAAATAATCTATTAAATTTTCCTTGTTCTTAAAGAAAACTATGTTTTCCCCATAATTCATTTTTCTTTTGTATGGTTAATCATATCTGGTCCTGTTAATATTTTCTAATGAATAAGCCATCTTCTCTCCTCGCTCTCGATAATAAAACACTCTCCTCTATCATACGGCATAAGATCACTGAAAACGGACTTAGCACCCGAAAAAAGGTTCCCTCGTAAGTACGATTGTACACTGATACTCTTCTCTTCTTACGATGCTTCTGAAATGAATACCAGTAACGCAATAACGCATGCGTTACTGCGTTACCTGTAAAGAAACGGTAAAGCGCCACCCCTAATCAAAATAATCAGCAAGACATGAGCTTTCAAACAAGTAAAAGGTCAACTAAAGAAGACGTTTATTAAACAGATTTATTAAGAAAGAAAAAAATCCGACATTATTTATTAGCCAACCTAATATTAAATGGACAACAACCTCCTCTTCCAGCTGTTGAATTTTTACATAAATCGAGAATATCTGTAGGAATAGAATGGATTTAGAATAAAAACAGTCAGATTGGATTTAGGAACAAGTCCATTTTTATGAAATTTCATGAAATCGAACGAAGTACTCATAACGTCAAAACAACGAAAATTATCAGAAACATTCAAGTATGTATATCAGCTTTTCTGGTCTGTGTGTGTGTGTCACATATTCAGGTTCTTTTTTTTATATTTGCTCTATTTTTGTTAATTCATGTTCTCCTCTCTTGTTGATATCGTACTTTTGTTTTGTGTGCATTTGATAGGTGATAAAAAAACAAGTTGTTTTGCCACATAGGAAGTAACACAATCCGGTCTAGTGGAAGGACCAGATCTCATTTGATCAACAGCTGAGCCGCCACTTTTATATTTACAGTGTAGAAATGTGATAATCATATACCTTTCCGAATGAGCCACAATATTTTATTGTAAATGTTGATTACACCGTGATGAAAATTGTACATCTTCTTACACTTCACCTTCAATGTTTTCGAAATCAATTATTTGGACAGATGTTCGATCTCTTTTCGGTATACACACTACTGATCTAGAAAACGTAACAAGGTGATGTCAAGGCTATATTTCACAGCTTAGTATCTCGAAATTTCAACATTGGGTTTATAAGGCCTGTGGTGCCCATCACGCCTTTTTGAAAGCGTTTTTTCTTCTAATTTTACAAAAACATATGGACTAGATGCAGTTTTCAACACCAATCAAGAATATTAACATATGACTACTTTAACTTGTTGGAGTGCAAAGTATAAATAATTCCATTGGGAGAAGGCGTACGAGAATAAGAACTCCCAAAGGATAACTACTCATAGAGCCATTTTACATTTAACAAGATTTTTTCAAATCTTTTATATAATTTGTTTTTAGAATGTTTTGCTGAGTAAAACTGGCCTTGTTTTCTCAGAAAAGTGAACAGAAATTTTGCACTCTATTTTATACATTCAGTTATCTGAAAATCTTTTTTTGTCGAGATTCAATTCATATGTTATCAAGGATTATAGAAACGGCTATGTACAGTTCTAAAATGACACAATTTTGTAGCCGTATGAGATTTGACAGACAATGTAGGCATAACTCTCAATGATTGGCAGAAAAGGAACCAGTGACTTCAAAGCTGTCTCGAGAGTGGCTCGTCTTCATAGCCACTAGGTTTTATTCACACTTTTGATCACTATAACTTTCCGGCTTTCTCTTTTGGTCATAATAGTCAGAGATAATGTGCGTTCAAACTTTAGTTTAACTATTCATTAATATTAGTTTTGTGTAGAAATTTCTAATTATAATATTCGTACCGTACACAGGTTAGTCGAGCCGTATTGAAAAAAATTTTTAATTGTCTGTTATTAAATTTTATTATATAATAGAATTTCTGATGAACGCACTAAGCACTCTCTTCCTTGTCGATATAATCGACAGATATTCGATGTAAATAAATTTGTTCTTATCTAATATTGAGTTTAAGAAAAAAGTCGTGATATATGTCCGTTTATGTGTCTAAAATTACTAAGGTCATAGTAAACACTACTTCTTCCGTAAACACTAGTGCTAATTTTCATGGTCGAAATGTATCGTGAATTGATGAGCATCAACATTTTCTGTAGAAAGTAAAATCTGAGTGTGGCATTCTGACTCTTACAAGAAATTAAACCATAACATACCACTGACTGCTCTAATAGTATAAGAAAGCAATACACGATGCCGTTATAATTGTGAAATTGGTTTTTAAAAGGACTTACGCTTAGGATTAAAACTATTGAAGAAATAAAAAACCACATTCTTTTCCTTATGTTACGCAGTTACGTTTTTTTGGATTTCAGAGAAAAGTGTATTCATTTTTTGGCACGTAGTAAATTAAAGGATTTCAACTTAATTTTCTGCGAAGGTGAGCAAGAGTAATTAGATTATATCCTGTACAGAAGAGCTGGGGAATTTTGCTGCATGAAAAACAACTGATTTATAGTT